CCGATGAGGGTTACCCGAGGAGGTCAACCTTTTGACTGATAAAATGGAAGAAAACATCCTCGAGTCACGAGCTCGGGCATATCCAAAAGTAGGGTCATCAATACCTAATCAAAAAGTCGAACTTGCCTAGTCTCAAGGCTGATTATGCCTATTGTCAAGGCCGATCATGCCTAGTCTCATGGATGATCATCATGCCTATTTTCAAGGCTGATCATGCCTAGTCTCAAGGCTGATCATGCTTAATCAAAAGGCTGATCATGCCTATTTTCAAGGCTGATCGTGGCTAATCAAAAGGCAGATATTGCCTAGTCAAAAGGTTGATCATGCCTAGTCTCAAGGCTGATCATGCATTTCTATAGGCTGATGATGCCTTTCCACAAAGCTAATCATACCTAATCAAAAGCCTGATCATGCACAGTCTCAAGGCTGATCATGCCTTTTCATATCTGACCATGCCTTTCCACAGGGCTGATCACGCCTCTGGCCATCTTATCTCCAGCGCTGCTTATTCCCGATAGTGGAAGATGCATCTCACCCTAGAATCTCGAGCACGAGCCTCTGGCATGGATGTATGAGGGACTATGATGAATACAATGTAGGCCAAGCTCGAGCTCGGGTCCCGAGAAATATCTTTCCAATTTGGCTTCAACGCCTTGTAACCTCCTCGGTCATATCTTCTCGAGATTATCTGTTCTCGGCCACTAGGTCTTCCTCGAGATCACAACTAAACCTCTTACCGTGCAGCCCTTGACTTATTAGGATTTTCCCTAGTGTCAAGGTTTGTCCAAACCTAAGAGAGATAGAGTCCTGCTATTAATATGTTACCTCATCTTGAAAGGATTCTACCATAAAAGTCTCATCCTTATCCAAACACATGGATGATACAAAACCAAGTTACAACTTCTAATCACGTTAGAACTCCTAAGGGTTTCAATATTGTAATCCTACTAGGAATACACTATCAAGGTACGTGTTTTTTACATAATTTTCAGCAAATATCTTTTTTCAAATTCTCTCTCTGATTTAAGTATCGGAGGGACGACGCGAACACATCTCGACGCCTTTGTTTCAGATCGAAAGACCTCATTCATGCTCATTCTCAATCGTCAAGCTCGGAAGTCAACATGTGCGATTTTTTGTAGTATCAATGATAAAATCTAAATATTAAGTGATGATAGAAGTGGCATACAATTGACAACTAGGACCTACCAAGATGATGTGATAGTCACCTAAAAGCTGTATAATTGGTATTCCGAGCATGGAACAATAATGATTTGGTCATAGGAGCTTGGCACGTGACTAACCTTAGATCATTCGAGCTAGCTTATAACTCAAATCATAACAACAGAACCAATTGGCTTTCGGTCAAGCAAACGATATAGCAAGCCTAGCATGTTACCAAAGTGTGGAACATGTTGACCTATGGTTGATCTCATGTTTTGATTATAACAAACAAATTGGTTTATCTCTAACAATCGAATTCAAGTCTTCAAAGCTATTGTAGCCAAGTTGATCAATTGAAGACAATATGATTGTTACCAAAAGACTCGCAACTTATGATAAAAGAAAATCGAGATGGAAGCCGAGCAATCACATCAAATCAATCGAAGCATTCACGACGAATCAAACATTCATTGAAAATATTAGATTTAGATGCTTTGAATCCATATGTAAAGGTAAAATGATTTAATCCTTAGCAATGAATCATTAAAAGCTCATAAGTTAAATTTTTATTTCATGAGATAAATTATTCATAAAAATGATCATATAAAAATTATTTTCGACGTGACAAAAATCTTCACTTGATTTTTAAATCTTTTACCAATGACACCCATTTTGAAAAGAGTGAATATGTTCTTCAAAAGCCTACACTTGTTAAAATAATCAAGAAAAGAAAAAATCGAAGAATTTTTGTCCTAATGGACGTTCAGTTAAGCTGGCAACGTCTGGTTGGTCCAACGGTCTAATTTTTAACCGTTCTAGTTTTTGAAGCACAACGGCTAGTTCAGTTGTCCGGTTCAGTGGCGGACATTCGGTTGGACAGAAATTTTGACGTTTTGACTTCTATAAATATCACTTCATTCTAAATTCAATATAACATTTTTAAGAGCATTTATGTGAGATATTCTTTATTGATTCATCTTTATCAAATCATTTACTTTGAAATTGTTTTGATTGAATTAACTTTTAAAAATCATTTTACTCATCAAAGTTTTTCTCACCTGAGGCTTGAGCTTCATTCACTGCTGTATATTAAAATTTTAACTTATTTCTCTCTTGATACTTAATTTACTCATCAAAGTTTTTCTCACCTAAGGCTTGAGCTTCATTCACTGCTGTATATTAAAATTTTAACATATTTCTCTCTTGATACTTAATTTGATCATATCATTTATTAAGAGAGGAGTTTCAATTGTAAAATCACTTTTCTATTAAATTTGTGGGACGTGTTGAGGTCCTGTAAAGCTCAACGTTGTATAAGGATCGATGCTCATTGTTTATAAGTCACCGGAAGCATTGTAAAGAGTTGGATTGTGCCATAAGCCAATCAACATAGTAAAAAAGTCTTACTCGTGCCGGATAGTTTGATAACAGAGGACATGGATCAGCTTTGAATCGATCATCCACAATTATATCGTTTGCATTATCTTTCTCTTTTAGTTATTGCATTTACATTTGCGCTAACTATTTGAATTTACCTATTTGGCCTTTACTTGCTTATATTTATATTCATCGTTCAAAAAAGTTTTAAATAATCAATTCACTCCCTTATTTTTGGGCTATCAGAACACCCAAAAGTATTGGATGTGACGAGCTACCAACTTGAAGTATGACGACAATGGAATTGTAGAAGTATGACACTCTTTGACTGGTCAAACCACTCCATTCATTATAAATACAAGATTGCATTCCATGCAAAAAGTACACAGATTCATAGTCCTACTCTTAAATGCTTGTTTCGTACTTGTTTACAATTCGTTTGTAATCGATAAAACTATTTTTTATCCACACACACTTCGAGAGATATCCAAGTACTACTCATTTATCCGATCATTCATTTGCTGGAATTCATATCGTGCCATAGTAATGAGAACTAACTTGGGTATCAAAAAAGTCTCGTGTTTTTCTTGTAAAGTTCAACGAACTCTTAGTCGTGCATAGCTGACAAGGGACAATTATGATTTTCGAAGTTACGAGTGATTTTTCGCTATATTTCACCATGATGGAGAACTCGAACTTCTATATGAAAAGTTGGAATCCATCCTCCCTTTCCCCAGAGAAGAGAAAGTAGGTGAAGGAATACGTTGAATTAGTGATGAAACCTGTCCTTTTACTTCATCTCAAGGAAAAAGAAAAGCAAAGGAAAAAACAAGAAGATCAAAGCTAGCTATTTTATGTCCACCTATCTAGCTTCACACCAAAAAGCTTTGATCAAAAATAGGAAAAAGAGGCAGATTGCTTTCTTCTTAAAACTGTAAAGAAGATATTAACTTCTTTTTCTTTCTCGATATTTTCAAATTCTATGCAGTCTACCTCACAAAGTTGACGTGCCTTTTCATGATAGTGCAGAAGTAGGACAACAGCTGCAACCATTATAGCAACTAACAGCAGTAGCAAATGGGAAATCACGATTTTTTTAGTTATGTTATCATTGTGGATTGCCAACTAGTAAGATAGTGATCCATTTACTACCAATAAGCCCTCATGAACTACATGAATAATTAGTAAAGAAAGCCACTACTTTTACTACTATATATGCCTCTTGCTATTATTATATGAAATCAATTAATTTATGCTTTGTTTTGAATGTTTGCCCCAATTTGCTTCATTGACTTGTATTTGTTTCATGGCTGCCAATATTCGATAGAATATGCTTAAAGGTGTCAAAATGTGATGGCCTGCTCAGGCTCAGCAAAAACGCCGCCTAGGCACGGTGCAATCCTTAACACGTGGCCCGACCAGCAGCTTGCGCAAACATGTATGTAGTAAAAATAAAGAAGTTAAATTCCACAGGTTTTAAACATCTTGTGCTGAGCCCATGGTCCAGTCTACTTCATTAACTTTGCTACTATCTACCCCAATTTTCCTCCATTTGCACGAATGGGAAGGGCGCCTTTAATAAGGCTACAATTGAACTTTTACATTTTTGGGCACAAGAAGGCCTTTGTAACAAAGAACTTCATACATGGGCTCTCTTCCACTTTGACCATAGAAAAAAGGGTCTTCAGAATTTAAGATCTTTTCTCTACTGGTGCCGAGAGATAGATGCCATTCAGCGGATAACATTACAGTGAGAATACTATATCTAAACAGGTTAAATTCCTTTCCAACCTTTCTTGATTCAGAATACAGAAAGTGAATTCAGAATCTCAAGAATTATGTTATCTCTTAAGACTTGTACATGAAGCTATACTGATGCAAGATGCCATAATTGACCAATCATGCAGATAGAAAAAATTCTCATATCCTGGGGAAAAAATGGAAGACTCCAATCAAGAAAAGGTAATAGCACACCAATATAAATATTACGTGGATCATTAAGTGTTGACAATGGATTAAAGTAGAAAATGCTTCACTTTAGTGGAAAACACACTCAACCAAGAAAAAGTGATGATTATGAAATTCTGTCAACTTGGCCTAATTGAATGCATAATCTAAGAATAGAGGAAGGGCCACAATGAATAATAAATATCAGATAAACAAGGTAATTAACGCTAAATCAGCTTATTCGGCCACATCATCCAATATCATTGTGTATTTAGACTACCTTCAATGGAAAATTAATCGTGGGAACCCTGAAACTGAAGCAGGAATTTAACACTTTATTAATGTTGCGTAACTTCATAAATTCCATCTGGACATGCACATATTACTTCATCTAGCATATAGTATACATAAGGTTGCCACAGCAGTAAATAACACCACAATGTAATTACTTTGACATTTTACAAAATCCATATATGGCATTACATGTACCGACCAGACTAGATGTTTCTTTCTCACTCAAGAGATCTTTCGGATTGGAATGTTCCCGTGAAACAGAACTGGAACCCTTGATTAGCAGCACCTGTGTTAACTATACAGGTACCATGCGATGCAATATCATGTGGATATGCAATGAATGGATCATCATAAGCTGAGTCGAACACCATTGAAGCTCCATTATTTTTGTGATTCCAGTCAAGTAATATTTTTGGAGTGCCAATGGACTTCTGTACCAATGTAACCGACGAAGAATTATCTGATGATGGAGAATTTTTATTACCCGAGGGACAATGTTTTGTGAATTGGACTGATGTTATATCGTGGATGCTCGGCCTCCTCTTATCTTTCCCTCCTGAGAGCTGCCTTAGATAGTACTTTTGAGCATGGCTTGCAACTTGAGTAGGTGTTTTAGAGATAACAAAATTTCGCGAGATGTTCCTCCAGTCCCCTTTGCCATGCTCTTGAAGTCCCAACAGGAAACGTCTGTTTTCAACCATAGAAAGTAATCAGAAAAACAGAAACAAACAATTAGAAAATATCTTTGAAAGTTTCATTTGCATGCACTCTGATTGATAAATGAGAACATCAACATAGCTGAAGCCATTTTCTATTAGAAACTAAGACATTAGTCACATGTTTGGCAGGGAGAATTAGACTGTACTCAAGAGTATCAAAGAAGAAAAATAAGCTAAAATCATGGATACGGTAGTGTCTGGCCCTGCCCATGACTGTGTACCAAACATGCACTAGGTGTTTTGATGAATAAAAGTTACTACCAGGATGGGAAGTGCTGTTTATATTCCATTAAAATGTCCTGCAAATTTGACATTTCAATTATAATGATACTGCATAATATCTGTAAAGCAGAGATCATCGTATAGAGGACAAACTGAAAAACGATGGCTACATGGCGAATTCCTCATGTCCCTTAAAGAGAATATCTCTAGTGCACATAACATATTGGCCTTAAGTGTTATTTAATCCAACTGTTGTTATTACGAAACTAAGCTCCAGAAAAAGAAAGTAACTTCGTTGGATATCTTTTACGTCTTCCAAACACAGTTATAGTTGAATATCAAAATCTAGTTGAAGAGAGCAAACATAATTCTAAGAGAACTTCACCTGTGCTCCTCCTCTGTCCAAGGTACACCTTTTTTTCTTTCTTGATTGCAAGACCTGCCTCTCTTCCTATACACATCAAAACTGTGATTATCGGGTAATTTCAATGTAAAAGAAGAGTTCAAGTATCCAGGTACTGGGACCAAACCAGCTTCTATATCACTAATATCCGACACCAATTCTTTGTACTGGTTTATCACATCATGCACCGATTTACCAGGGATCATGGCTGCCACCATAAACCATCTGTTGGGATTATTTTCATCAAACACTGCAAGTGCACTCTCAAATTTCTTGTTTTCTTCTTTTGTCCATACTGTGTTTTTCCTCTGTTGCATCAACAAACTCGAATTCGATATGAATGAAGCTGGAAACAAGGTTTCCATGTGTCCGAAACCAGGGCCAATTTTCGGCCCGAGGAAACCTTTGCACGCCTCTTTTTCAGTGATTAAACCCTCAATATAGCTATAGTTTGACAGTTCAATAACCTGGGATTCTTATCACGAGCATTGAAAATGATGGGACTTGAGATATATGGAGTATGCAGAAAGAAGTTGGAATTTTACAATGATCCGAAAGGCATTGAAATCGGAATCATTTACTGGGAATCAGAATACTGCTTTTTCCACACAGCATAAATTTAAGAATCTTGAAAAAAAGATTTACCTTTTCAGAATCTTGGAATTTTACCAGAGGATACAAAAGCACAGAAATACATAAGCAGAACCCAGATCAAGATTTTCAATTTAGGAGTGAAACAACGCAGAAGTTTCACGAGATTCCCATTTTGAGTTGAAAATTTTGTTTCACTACTCCAGTGTCGAACTTGAGAAAAAGCTGGAATATTCTACGTTTCTTGCTTAATTTTGAGGGAATTATAGAGATAATTTGGCAAATGAAAATGATAAATAATTGAAGCTCTCACAAGTTGTAATAATAATAATAATAATAATAATCATGGCTATGGATGAATCCAAAGGAGCGTAGAAATAGAAAGAGAAAAGGAGACATCAAAGAATACTTGGGAGTGTGTGTTGATAATTAACGCAAGAGAAGAAGTTGTGAAGGTTGATTTATATAGTTGTTTGATTAAGGTTTTGGTCAGCAAACACATTCATCATTATCATTCAAAAAATTATTGTCTTAATAAAATGTATAGAATATATTTTCTTGAAATTTTATGTTATACATTAAAGCAAAATAGTCGTTTAACAATTAAAATTTAATAGAAATTACAGAATTTTTTTTAAAAAAAAAGTCAAAAGTCAAAAATAGAATATAATAAGCTATCAATTAGAATTCAGATTTTAATCTATTAAAGTCATCAATTAATTTTGACCACATATTTCATGGGTCCATCATTTTTCAATCACAAATTTCATTAATTTTTACCAAATATACTAAAAATCTGATTTTAACCCTCATCAAACAAGGACTAAGAATATTTACTATGTGAAATACTTCACTCAATACATATTTCTTAAAATTGCATTTAGTACGATGTTTTTTATTGCACAAAAATATAACTTTCAATAGAGTTTACTCAACTTGCTTATTTATTTTTCTTTAGTTACTTAACTTAAAAATGTTCGAACTTGATCACTATTCTTCTATGTTGTTGTCTCATCGTTACAATTCAATTTATATTTTTGCTTCGATTCTAAACGTCGAGTAACATTATTTTCAACCACACGTTCAAGTTTTCTTGCATATGGCTCGATCCCACGTGAATCAGCAGATGAATCACTAAATTGGGAATGCTCCCTCAAGCATGAGTGAACCCTTTCGAAACGGGTTAAGAATGAACACTTCATTATTTTGTTTGTATTATCTGTCAGACTTTGAGAATTGTCACAACATAACTATGTGACCTAGCGATGAAATCGTGATATGTACATATCATTTGTCACCGTAAAAAACTTGTCAGTTTAAAAAATTAATGTGAAATTTAACAACACACAACTTTTTAGCACCCAATGGAAAGAGAAGGAGAAGGGGAAGGGAGTAAAGATACATAAAAAGTTTAGCCTAAAGCTCAATGATTCACATTTTTTTTTTCTGAAAGGCCGAAGGAGAACAAAAAAAATTATTTATTTATATCTATCGTTGGTTCTACTTTTTATCATAGTATTTATGAAAATGATATTACAAGAGATTTGCCTTTTATCTTTTCTAATATCATGTTGAATAACCACTGTGATGAATGGAAATCGCCTTACATTGACACAACTTGTATCGACAAGGGATTAGACTATGGGCATGTTTGTTTTTTTATTTTCAAATTCTACATTAAATCAATTCTCATTTTCAACTGCACATTTTTTAATAAAATAATATTTTACATCACATCAATGACTTTTCCTTACTTTTTAACTACATATTTTTCATCATATCACTATTTAAAATACATTCTTTCCTCAATAATATACATCAATTGATTTTCAACCACACATTTTTCAATAAAATAATATTTTCCATCACATCAATACTTTTTTCTTCTTTTTCAACCACACATTTCCCATCATATCACTATTCAAAAATTAATTATTCCTCCAAAAATCTCTACCAAACAAGCTCTATATTATTGCAATACATGTCACGCCTAAGAGGATAGCACGCATACGATGCAATAACTTTCCCTACTAATTTTAAAATTTTATTATCGTATTTATTTGGTTGTGTATTTTCTTCAATACTTGAATATACAATTATTATATAAGAACTTATTAGGAAAAAAACTTAGCCCCTGTTTGATAACTATTATTTTCATACTCATTTCGTACGATATAATATTCAGCACGCAAATACACAATTTTTCTAACTTTTTAATCATACATTCTCCCAAAAATTATTATTCAAATTGTTTTTTTTTTTTTTTCAAATAATGGTTGTCAAATCCGGCTTAGTAGAAATGAAAAAAGGGAGCTTTTTCCTTACATTTCCCACTTTTTATACCAAGACAAAATAACAAACAAACCCTATTGCATAATGGAAAAGAAAGTTGAAATCGAGGAAAAAGCCAAACCACCAAAAGTTTGCGGCTTGTTTGTTTTTGGTTATTTTAATAATTAATTGTTAAAAGTTATCAAAACATAATCAATTATTTCTTGGACTTTACAAGTAGGAAAACTACTTTTCAATGTACTAATTAAAGCTAGTATGAATGAGGAAATGGATGGAAGGTAAATTGAGAAGATATTTTTCATTTTTCTTAACAAAAGTTGAAATAATAGGTGTTTTTTCAATCAAATTTTTTAATTATATTTAATCTCTTATATACCTTGTTAAGAATTGTAATTGAATACGATCGATGATTTTCAATCCGAGTTACATTGAATTAAATAAAATAATTGTTACTATTACCAAGTGCATCTCTTTTTCAAAAAAAATTTTTTTTTTTTTTAATAAACGTATAAAACATTTTAGCAGTAGTAAGCTGAAGAAAATTGGAGCAATTAGATGAATAATTTGTAATTGAATACCTAAAAGTAAAGGCGCCTGTAGCTCAGTGGATAGAGCGTCTGTTTCCTAAGCAGAAAGTCGTAGGTTCGACCCCTACCTGGCGCGATTTATCTTTTTAAAGTAATTTATTTTGCTTTTGATTTTAATGTCTATCAACATTGTCAAATGAGACCAGTGGCCAGCTGAACCTGAAAAACCTAGATTCCAACATCAAATTCATTCAGTGTAACTGCAAATTGATTTTTTTCACTATTTTTACAAATTTGTGTAATATATACTAATAACAATGTTTGAGACAATCGGCTAATCTTGATTTTCCTTTGACATGTACTAGATTATGCATTCGCCGTGCAATCTCGACTTGTTTGTAAGGCGGGTTGTATAGTATTAACAAAGTAAAAAGCTTGTTCATAGTACTTCGAGTACTGTAAAACCAAAGAATAATGCTTCTCTTAAAGTTTCCTTCACATTAACTTTTACAGTTTTTTGTTTTTTCTGAAAATGAAGAAGAAGATATTATTATAAATCAATTTTTAGAACAATATAATAATTTTGCTCAACCTTTAGGAGATACGGATATTTTAAGTCAAGATGTGTTAACTCATATAAGAAATATCGATAATGAAAGATGACTAAAAAGAAGCTAATGAACAAGCAAGCAATATGTCCCTGGATTATCAGCCCTGAATCTTATTGCAGTCCAGCCACCAGTTGGTATTACTTGTAGTATTCTTCTCAACAGGATCAAGAAGATTGTAATTTTCTATGCCTTTTCCCACCGCAAAAAATTTAACACGTGCAAATGTGTTGGATGGCTCTCTAGTGCTATAAACGAGTTGCCTTGGATCACTATCTGAACTGTAGAATTATGAGCCAATCTGGATACTTGTGTGCCATTTTTTGTCTGCATATTCTGTGGTGGAGAGCCAGTGTAGTTAAAAGGGATTGGGGGATTTCCTGGAAAATCATCGGTGAAAACTCCACTTATAGTGTGCTTGAAGCAGAGCGGTATGTCACGGACTTGTTGTTTTCTCCAAGCACCGTGCGGCACTTAGTGTCTCCAACTTCCGCCCCTGCGGTTTTTACACTAAGTCAGCCTCCAACTCTAGCGTTGAGGTCTTAGAACGGCACCAAGTAGACCACTTAAGAATTCAAAGGAGGAACACAAGTGTTTATGAAGAAAGCTTTGTATTGCACAAAAAAACTTTACAANTGAGGTCTTAGAACGGCACCAAGTAGACCACTTAAGAATTCAAAGGAGGAACACAAGTGTTTATGAAGAAAGCTTTGTATTGCACAAAGAAACTTTACAATGCTTAACACTTTACAACTTCACTCCCTCTTGGAGCAAATGAATGAACCTACAAGCTATTTATAGGCAAAGTTGTCCCTAATGAATGGCTAGGATCAATTTGATCCAACGGTCTACAATTCATCTCTAGAATTCTCTACAATCATCCCTAATAAAATATTTACAAAGGATTATCTAGGATTATCTAGAATAATCCACAAGTATTAGATTTGCTAATTCTCTAGAATTCTCCATTACCTTCTGGTTACCATCATTGGCTAAAACATTCTGGATTCGCCTCAAGACACTATTGTTCTAGAGAATTCCGTCACCTTTGTTATGAAACGAGCGGGTCGTGACAGGTAGTAGGCATAGCAAAGCTAATATTATCGATATCAGCCACAACACGGCTTGCACATTGATTGACACCAACACAAATGGTGAACAACAATGAGTGGTCGATCTTCAGTGGGGGCATTGGTAGGGTAAGTTTTGGAATTAAGGTTTCGAAGGGAGTCCATGAAGGAAGACGTTACTTTTGTTGCATTCAGTGAAGGCATGGCGGTGAGGGACGTGGCAGAAAATGGTACAATGCCGTTGTAGCACAAGATACCGGTTGCAATTTGGTTATCAGTGGCTGCTATGGTGCCCATAAAAGGCGAAATGGCTATTAGATACTTGCCAATACTTTGATCTGCTGCTAAAAGGGCATTTGTTGTCTGGCTTAAACCTATGAAAATTGCCTCAGTTTCGAAAGGCTTTGTGTACGGAGCATCAACCTCAACAATTGTTAGTTTGTGCCCTGCAATTATGAAGAAGAGTTCTTCGTTAACTGCTGCGTTAACAATGCGCAGCAAGTAGATCTTGCCCGTTTCCAAGTACAGTGTGTAACCTGCAACAGCAACAACAAATTAAAACTTTTACCATATTTAGTCATATATGCAAATTCATTTTGGTAACTATGTTCGGTTTCATTGCTAGATCCATTGGCACGTCATAGAATTTTAGCACAAGATAATTCTTCATTGCTTCTTTTCAGTGTTTCGTTTAAACCACAATTCAGAAACATGAAAAGTGTTTCACGTAGAATGAACTGTCTAGAATAGTCGAAGAGACGGGGCATTCTTGGCACGCACAAGACAAATAATGCCCGGTCCACTTTACTCCTCTATCCAACCGTATTTCCTTTGAAATGCAATCCTGTCTCTCTAATAAAGGCAGGCACCTTCGGGCCCATACTTTCTTGAACACCAACCTATATCTCTAATAAAGGCGAACACCTTGGTTGCAGAGTTAAGAGTCTCGGGAGGAATTGCTCGCGGGGTGGCGGCCCCTTTTTTCTTACATATATCTAGCAAATTGAATAATTTAGCACGAGTCTGATGAAGATACATAACCTCCCAACCTTTGGTGGGGGGAATTTATACTGTAAAATCTATTAATAATAAAACTACTCCACAACAAAACAAAATATTACCATTGGAAAAACAAATAAAGATTAGGAAAAAAATTAAGTTAGTATTATAAACAGAACTTGTGAGAAAGAAATGCAGAGTTAGATCCCACAAGAAATTGATAAATTACTGGTGATATCATGCAAGGTAAATCATGTAAGCAATTAACTTTAGGAGAGAATAATCCCAATATCAACTGGACCAAATTGAACGGCACTCACTGCAAGGAGAATTTATTCCAGAATTGATTGCATGATTTTTGATACAAAAATCTATTTCAGGTATCTTTCACATTTAATGTTATCTCTGCAAGTAAAACTATCATAAAGCCCCTTTTTGTAGTCGGGGAAGTTCGAATTCTACTTGCTCTTTTTAGTTTCTTCAGCATACTTGTTTATTAGGTCCTCGACATCTTTCCAGAACAGGCCTTCCACCAGAACTCCTTCCTTGGTGAACCTGAAATATAAGCAAGAGAGAGAAGACCTGAATTTTCATATATACCATAAGCCGAATATTAATTTAAGTGGGAAAAAATAAGCAAGAAAGTTATTTTCCTGGGGTTTGGGAGAAGAGAGATTACCACTGAGTGACGCTTTTAGTAAATTCAACTGGTGGCTTTGCAGATATTGATTTGGGATCCGCACTTGCTATTATAAGCGTATACTTATCTGAGAATCTCGGCAACTTAGAAGTGATGACTAAGCCAGTAGTGTGGAAAGATCGCTGTTGAAAGAATGTTATAGCTATTTCAGTTTCTGTGTAATCAGATGCTGTGTAATTTCAATACTCATAGCAAGGTCAAACATTCTCTAAAAGTAGCAGATGTAAGATGAACAATGTAACAGGAATCTATGCAAGACTCTACCCTATCATGGCGAAAGTGTGTAAAATTAGTCAGTGCTACTTCATTTTCGTCACATCTTACATTTTGAAATAATGTTCATATAACCATCGTTTTATGTGCAAGGGTGAGACAGTACCACTTGAACACGTTAGAAGTGGAAAACCAAACAAAAATTGGAATGGTTTGTCCAAACCAAAATTGGAATGGTCTGTTAAACGGATCAGTGGAACAGAGAAAGGATTCATGAAGCAACCACAAATTTATAGAGAATAAGCCTTAGTTGTGGTAAATCCTTCATTCAATGTCATTAAATCGTTTTTAAATCCAAACAAAAATGAACAAAATACATCCCTCCCTGCCACCCAGAAAAAAAAAAACATATTCTTCTTATCAGCCTTCATCAGTAACAACCATTCTTCATGTGTCAGTAATTTCAAGACTCAAAAACAGTTAAAAACTTGAAGCAAGGGAAGATCGATGCTGTAGTAAAACTATCAAAGTGCTTTCTTTTAGTCTCTCTTCCAATGTGCTCAAAATGACACAAACCACAAAACTCAGTATAAGATCATTCAGAGTTAATAATTAGCAGCTTGGAGAAACAAGGGAACACTCGTGCCCTCAGAAGCACGGACACGCTGCCGGTGACAACGTATCGGACACCGGTACGCCTCCGACGCGTGTCAGAGGCGAGAAAAGGTAGCTGGCATAAAGAAATCAGTAAGATAAATAGATGGGAGGAAGAAATAAACGGTGACCATTGAATACCCGGGAAGAAATGCAACCGGTGGTGACTGGTCTAGGAAGAAGTCGTCTGCCGAAGGAAAGAAGAAAGAGAGAAAAGAGAAAGGAAATGAAGAGACTACTTAGGGAAATGAAAGTCTTACCTAAACCAATGCAATTTTTAAATTGTAGGGCCCACCACTTTAAAATTTCTCTTTTAGTAATGTAATGTACGTTTTTTTATTAATATTTCTTTGTTCCAGCTGTATTCTTTGAAAAAAGAAATAGGATTCTTGGGGATGAAGAGGTTCAAGATGAATGATATAATTAATTTCGTTTTACTTTTTGAACTTATGTTATTAAGAAACATGTATGAATTTAATGTCAAGTTTGATTTCTATTTATCATTTAATTATTTATATATATGATGCAATAAGCATAAAAAAATTATTACTTCAGACTATCAAATTAAAATAAACTAAAAAAATAATATTTTAATCAATGTGTCGGCTACGTATCGTGTCAAAACTTTTCAAAAAATCGCATGTCAACGTGTGTCACATAACTATGAACAAGATCATCATCCAAATTCCAAAATATACCAGCCAACGCTGACTAAGGAAATGGGCCTATCAACCACGGATCTTTCTTTATTATTTTTTCCACCCTGATTCTCAAAAAGTTTTCAACAGAGATTGAAGGCCACAAGAATTGATGCAGGGATGTGCTGCTGTTGGGGAGTTGCCATTTAAAGAGAAATGCATGGGCATTTGGGTCATTTCAAATGTATCATTCTTTTTTTTTCACTTACAATTTTTTTTTGCTTTCCTTTGAGACAGTTGTTAAAATGGGAGCATTTTGATTGTAACTGCTGTAGATAAGTTCATAACTGCGATTGTAACAAAATTGCGAAAGCTTTTTGAATGTATTCTTCTGAAATTAAAACAGAATTCTGCTGAGATGCGAAGCTTTCAGCTTGTCTGTTTCAATCCTTTAAACTTCATAGGGCATTAGAATGTGAAGTAGAACAGACAATTAGAAACATACCATCCCCACCCCCCTGGTCCTCCAGAATTTTTATTTTTTTTAAAGAAAAGGAAAAATAAGGTTGATACTAATTTGGTTACAAGTGTTAGGTTACATTTCAAGAATATAAGAAGGAAGTCATTAACAAGGGTCAAAGGGGCGAAATAGCAATTGTCTAGACCACCCGTTCCATTAAATCACTAGCGCAGCACGTCCCAAAGGAAAGATTAATGATAGTTCTAATGCGGTGCTTTCTGGGCTCTGCAATAGACTTGCGCAAATAACTTATTTTTTATATCAGATCTAAACAAAATTTAAAAGTTAATTTTAGCATAAATTATACAACAGAGCCAATGCAATATAAGGAATCATATATGACTATCTCAAGATTCTTTTCAAGAATTTGAAATTGGGACACCATATCAACTTCAATCATTTCGTTCGGGGAAAAAACTAAATTTGGGAGACGAACTAATAGATGGCATATATTTGCATAAATTTTCAAGTATGGTGTCCAATCAAGGAAAAATAAATCTAAACTTCAATGCGAATATGTAATTCTAATTCCAAATTCCAACTTCTAATTCCATGTAAACAAGACAAAAAAAAGAAGCAATAATACAACAAAAATACTTCTGAGAAATTGTGTATCAAAACAACACTCGAGTTAGATGCGATTATATCAAACGAAGAACAGATGCAATAGTAAATAGAACATCAAAATTTAACTCCATGACATACCAATATACAAACAATCAAGTACTCAACTAACACAATCAATTATAAACATCTTGTACATAGATGTATGATCATCAAAATATTCCGATATGTCACTTTAAATCAATGGTATACAAGTAAAGAATAATACAGAAATATTTGTATCCAAGCAATTCATAGGAAAGAGGAATAATGACTTACAGTTGGAGGATAGGTGAATAGAATTGCGTTCTTTTCCTTGATGTATATAATCAGCTGCAATATCCCATTGAATACAATATACGTGCTACTGTCAAAGATTAAACAAACAACATAGTCTAGACAAAATTGTTTCAAAGCAGATTCAGCAATAAATTCCCCTTTCAAATCCAAAGTCAATTTTCGAAATCAGGTCACGAAGAAGGATATAAGATAATGCATCCAATCAGGAAATTCCGATTCTCGGGAAACTTCTTGTTGTAGAATTGCGCAAAAAGTGCAATAATAATGATGATCGTCCCAATCAACAACCGAATGTTACTCATCCTAACATCTTCAGGGTACCCCTTGCTCTTCACGATCTGTCAACACAAAAACCCACCAACAATAAATTAATCAAAACATAAAAAATCCAAAAATCAATTAATCATACATTGAAAGCGAAAAACACATACATGCATATGTATGTAAAAATTGTGTGCGGATGTGTAGGTACTGACTGACCTCAGTGACAGATTCATCGAGGATGTGTTTGATGGAATGGTGATCCAAAAGATTTGCCTTTTTAGGGTTTTTATTAGAAGCAATTTCACCCTTCTTCGCCTCCATTTTACTCTTGCACCTGTAGGGTTTTTGAATGAAAAAAGGGTAGTCTTGTTTAACTGATAGGTGGAGTGACTACAGATTAGGTTGGCGGAGCCGGGAGGACTGGATTGGTTTAATCAAAGTAGGAGGGTGTGTTTGAGATTTGGAATAACGTATTTTGAAATAGTAAATTGGTGAAAAATGTGTGATTGAAAAAAAGAAAAGTTATGGATGTGATGAAAAAAATTATTTTATTGAATGATGTATTATTAAAAATGAGTAGAAAAATAAGAATAAAAATTTGAATATAACTCAACCAGGGGCTCAGGAATAAATTTTAAGAAAGATCTCTTGCGAGTTACAGCTTGCAAAGAGGTCAAATTTCTGTCCCGATTTGGTGCCCATTATTTAAAAAATAAAAAATAAAAATTGAATAGTAATTTTAGGAGAATGTATGGTTAAAAACTAAAAAAAAAAATTAATTAATTAATTTATGTACATAATATTTTACTTTTTGAATTTGTGATTGAAAATGATCGTATAATAAAAAATATTTTAAAACAATGGACACCAAATAGGAAGACTATGTTCACTCCAATAAAATATTGAGTGGCATCAAAATTTTTAAAATTACATTAAAAAAAGTAAGTCTTGACACACATTTAACGTTTCAGAATTGTAGTGAGATGTCAAAATTTTATAAAAAAAAAAAAAAATTATGACATCAAATCTTGACTATCTTGGAACATCTCCAATACTCTCTAAATATAGGGCCAACAAAATGTAGATGTCACATTTATGCCTGTCCGTTTCTGTTGGGAGATCCGCTAGTGCTTCTCTCCCCAAACAAATATTTTTATATTTTAAAGAGCTAATACTAAAAAATAAGCACCAAGAGACTACATTTATGCACAATACAACGACACTCGTTGTTGCTATCATTCTTCTTCTATGGCCGCTACTTCACTTCGTCGTTGTTGCGCATGCATAGGGACGATGGGTGCCATTGCGCCATTACAACAACTGCGACGTATGTGAGGTGGTTTGTTCTCGTCCTAACTACGTTGTTGTTTCTCTCTTCTTCTAAATTTGAGGTAGTGGCTTGTTGTTGTATACGTAGTGGCGTGTATGATGATAGTGCAGTGTGGTGATGGTGGTACGGTGGATTTGGAGTGGTGGTGGTGGGGATGGTACGATTTATGGTGGTGGTGTGCAATGGTTCTACAATGGCGGAGATGAATTGATCGAAAAATAAATTGTAACTAATTAATTTGATAAATTGTGATCGATAAATTAGTTTTGATTTATAAAATATGTGATTTGTAATCGAGATACAAGTCACAATCAATGAATTTGTAATCTATAAATGAGTTGTGACCTATAAAATTTGTGATTTGTAATTGTGACGTTTCGTAATTGTGACTAATATGTAATTATGATTATGAATTGTACGTTATTGTGATCTTAACCAAATTAATAAAATCTATTTAATTACATATTTAATTAATACCCCCTGATTTTAAAAACAAATCTACAATTTTGTCGAATTTGAAAGTATATCTTTAAAGGTTAGAATTTATGTATTTTTCCCTTTACATTTTCAGTGGTTAAAGACTTAGAGGGGGTTTGATAAGTTAAAAATTACTTTCAAAATTAAAAAAACTATCTTTGAACATAGGTATTAGCACATAATTTCATATTTTTCATTATTATTGTGAAAAACGTTAATACCTTTTATTTTTTGATGGGTTCACCCTTAATTACATATTTGATTGCATAAAACATCATTTTCATCAAATTTCTCAATAAAAAGCTATAAAATGACAAATATACCCCCATATTTAAATAAAACAAAAGGAAAAAAATTAGAAATAAAGAAATAATTACAACCATAATCCCAATTTTTTTTAAAAAGTTCGAACGAGTCCCAAATACATTATTAAAAAATTAGAAATAAAATAAATATATTCTTCTTCGTCTTCTTCTTCCCCTCCTCCACCATCACCACTTCCAATTTTTTTTTCCATCAAATTCCTACTTCTTCGTACGTCAACGTAATTTTTGAATTCATAGATTTTTTTCAAATAATCTTCGGTGGTCGTTAAGTTGCCAATACGTTTTTCTCTTATTGCCCAAAAATCTCCAACTCAGATATTTTTTTCCATTTTGATGGCTGGTGAAGATCTTATCACCCAACACGACAATGGCTTTGACTAATCCATTGTTTGTTTTAGCTATCGGATCATGTGTACATCAAGTCCCCGGAGGTCGCTAACGGATAGATATGACCTTCTTCTCGTACTAGAGATTCGTTAAGGCCGTGTTTGGGCCAGTTTGTGCATTGATTATCATCGTCTTCAACAGGATGTACATATTTTGTGCAAGGAAAGGGTTGGTACATGCATGGAGAAAAAGTGACGTTGGTTGGAGCGACGACATGGCTGCGGTTAGCGCTGGCAACGACCCGTATACGCACGAGCTCTGCTCACAAGCTCTTTTTTTTTTTTAGCTATACCTTTTTAAACCTTTTAAAAAAAAGATATACGTTTTCTAAACATTTTTTTAGATATATATTTTCTAAACCTTTTTTTTTAAAAAAAAAAAGATAAACCCTCCTACTTTATCCGGATTTGAGAACGGCTATTTCAATTTCGAGTATGTAGATTTAAAAATTGTACAAGAATAACTTGTTATGTTTACAATTTTTTTTAAAAAATTATAAAATTATTATAAAATAAAAATTTTGATGAATATGGTTAAATTAAATATTACTTACTTGACGAAATGCAATTTCGACATATTTATCTTGCAGTCGAAAATGACAGTGTTGTCAGTCTTTCATACACATTAATGCTTTCAAAATATCTTTTTTCAGTCGACTCCTGACCTCGAACAGAATCCTCTTATCTGCACTAAAAGCAGACTCCGAAACTACAGTGCTAATCGGATGTGTTAGTAGGTCTTTTGTCATAGCAGAAACCACTGGCCATCGACGTTCATACTTTCACCAGAAATTCAATTACTTCTTTTGAATTTTTCTTAATTGTTTTGTTATTAGGCATATTATGATTAAAGTAATCAATTAATTCAGCATGCAACGCATTTGGACTTTCTTTCGATATTTGATTACATGAGGTAGACAAAATACTACTAGAGGAACTGGAACCACATCCATTAGAGTTATATCTATATGAGTTAATACATTCGAATAAAGTTAAAACTTCATCATTGTCTTCTGGTATATCAATGGGAAGAGTAGGTGCAGAGCCAGAGGGTACCCGATTAATATTTGTTCACATTCGTGCTGCATATAATTCATACATTTCACATAAAATTTATTCTAAATTTCTATAAGGGATATGTACATTAAAAGTTAAAACTTTTGAAATCCGATCAATTACAAATTTAGTACCCGATAAATTATAAAGGGGGTCACGATGCATGCTAATGGAAATAACATAGGCAAGTCTTCCTATCTTTAAACTTTAATTCCATGCAAATAATTGCACTAAAATCAGGGTCATTTTTATATATATGAAAAGCCATAACAATTATATAAAGACGTTCAAAAATCATACAACTAGTGGGGTAATAAACTCTAGACAAAATATTTGTAAAATCATAAAAATTTGTCAAATTTTTTTAAATTTTAAAGCTAACATCTAATCAGACTCATTCAAAATAGTATGTCAATTTTTTTTTTTAATTTTAAAGCTAACATCTAATCGAACTCATTCAAAATAGTATTGTCATAATTTCTAATATGTATATTGTTGTAAAATTCAGTTATTAAATGTTCAAAACATTCACATGATTTTAATAATAAATAAGTGGAGTTCCATTTATACTCTACGTCACTAATAAATGTTTTTGTATGCATCACCCCAAATTCAACACAAAATTTCTCAAATACTTGTTTTCTACTAGGTAAAATCATTATATACACTAGTGCATTCCTAATTCTTTGAATTTCATTCTTAATATATTTTAAACTGTCTTACACTATTAAATTAAAAATATGGCACACACATCGAATATGAAACAAATAACCACGGAAATCGGGCTGCGGCACTCTACACAATTTATCAATAACTACCTTATTAACAATAGCGTTGTCGAATGTAAATGAACGAATTTCACTCTCGCAACAATATTCTCTAACAATATCCATAATAACATTAAATATGTTGTTAGAGTTGTGGGGGAACTCAATAATTTTAAAAGCAACAATTTTTTTATGCATGCACCAAAGTGGATCTATGTAGTGTGCAGTTGCAACTATATAACCTCTTTTATTAATCCATTCTCATATATCCAAAGTTAAATATATAACACCTTCATATTTTTGAAAATCGGCAATCAATAGTTTCTTTATATGAAGGAAATATTCTATTGTATCAGAACAAAGAGTGTTTCGACTTACCCCCAACGTACCTCGATTGAAGATATTCTTTCACGTAGGAGATGAAATATTGGTTATTCGCTATTGCTAGAGGCAACTCAGCAGGGGCAACAAAATTCACCATTTTCGTTCGAGTTTTCTCCTCTGAATACATCCACGTGGAAAGTGGAGTAGTAGTAGAACCGATACTTGGACTACCAAATTATAGTTGCGTTTGGCCAGCAAGAAGAAGCCCATGTTTGGCCTCACATGCTTTGTAGTGACAGTTGAGGTGGGTGGTTCTAATGTCTTTTTGTCATGCTAATCATTGTTGACAGTATTTATATACTGCTTTAAATTCTAGAACTCCAGCGACCACACAATTGTTTCAAACAATTTAGAGCTTGTTTGGGAGAGATTTTTGGGGGAAGAATTGATTTTGAATAGTGATATGATGGGAAATGTGTGGTTGAAAAAGAAGAAAAATTATTGATGTGATGGAAAATATTATTTTATTGAAAAATGTGTGGTTGAAAATGAGAATTGATTTACTGTAGAAAAATCTAATCCCTCCCAAACAGATCTTTAAAATGACCCAACATTTTGCCTGATTTTTCCCCTCTCTCTTCTCTCTTGCATCTAG